CGACGGTGTCATCACAGAAAAGTGTTGGTATCACTGACATCACTGAAACCGCACTTTCCGCACCGACTTAGACTTCCCGTTGTTCCAGCTGTGCTTCAAACTCTGAATGGTGTTCACTACCAAAAACCCCCACTAGTCGAGCGCGAATTCTTTCTGCATTTATCTGATGGCATCAACGTTTCGACTACTCACGGCGGTGTTGCAAGGTGCTCTTGTATAAGTAGGGGGGATACTAGACATGATTTCTCCAGCCTGGTGCTCCCTCCGTGTTTAGTCCCTTGTATCTCCTTCCCCATCCCTGGTCCCGTTCTACCTGATAGTACCACTATTGGAAATGCTCTTCATACAACTCGTGGTCGTGGCAGCTCTGCTAGTCCAACAGATCGGTGGAATGGTCATCCCCGAGGGTGGGCGCGACCAGCTCCTCGTTGAACGAGCCTCGACCAAGAAACCCAAAGCGGCTACAGCCCCGAATGCAACCCCGGCAATAGAGAAAAGAAGTAGAAACTGCGACGGAGGCGGGAAATCCCCCTGTGCTTGTGCAGCCCAGGCAGCTAATTCGGCGGCGAATCGGATCCCGTTAGGGCCGATTTGACCCCCGTGTGAATTAGGCCTTAGAGGTAGTGCCCTGGTTGTCATAGAACTCATCGCTTCTCTCTGGTGCCCTTAGGGCATGCTCGGTGGTGCTGGGATCAGCTTGTGCGATGCGGGGCAGGCTATTGACATTGGTAGGAGAATGGGGACAAGATATATTCGCATCACAATGTAGTAGGTACTCGACAATACATATGTTACACAACGTTGAAACAGGTGGGGGGAGTGAGCGACAGCGTAGAGCAAGCGAAGGGCAAGAGGTATCGTAAGGGCCAGGGTGTCGTAGTGAGCAAGATATCGTAGAAGGAGCTGGGGGCATGTCGGTGTGTACGAGATCCCGCTCTACCTACTGAGCGCCGCCTTGGGGTTGGTTGGGATTGGGGAATTGGCCCCAGGCGTTGCCGTGTCCTCCCTGTATCCCACCGCCGCCACCCATCTGAGGCATGAACTGAGGCATGAACTGTGACATGTAGTGCCATTGCTGCGTCTGCTGCTCAGGCGTCATCTGGTTCATGTGATTCATCATCCACTGCTGCTGCTGCAGCATCCACTGCTGCATCTGCGGCGTTGGGGGCATCGGCATTGGGGGCTGCTGCTGCAGTGCTTGGGGTGCGGGGAAGGCTTGTGCAGCGGTGGGTGGGGTCGCAGTAGTTGGAGCGTTGGAGGATACTGGGGCTGACCCTACGGTGGCGGCGGTGGTGACTGCACCGGTGTTTGTCGCACCAGCGAGCGGCGTCAGTGTGTTGGGCGGTGGAGTTGCTGCTGAGGAGGGGGTAGGCCTTGGGGCAACGGCCTTGACCTTTGGGACGGTGGAGGTGGAGGTCGTTTGGTCGGTGGGGCAGGCGCTGAACAGCGTTGTGAAGCCTCCTTGGTCGAACTCGGCCGCTGAGATGGAGAGCGGGGCTTCCTGGTTGCTGAAATGGACGCGACGATCGCCTGAGGTCGGGTTCGACTTGCTCCGTGCTGGGGGAGCTGGCTTTTGAACGTTGGGGACGGCTGCAGGTGTCGACTTGGCCTTCTTGGCGGCTGTCCCCTCGCTGCCCTTCTGGCCCTTCGTCTTCGTGGATGCCTTGCGCTTCGTGCCACCTAAGATAACGACAATAAGTAGAGGGAGGGAGGGCGAGATTGTGTGTACTTACCCTTGGTCGGCGTCTTGTCCTCATAGTCCGAGGCATTGACGATGTCGTGCTCGAGGAGGCCGAGGGCGTCGTCGTCGTCGCTCTCTGTGAGCTCGTCTTCCTGTTTCTCCTCATCCGATTCGGTGTCTTCGACGTACTTGGCGGACTTTGGTGCGTTTCGACGTGGTGCGGTGGTGGTGGCCTGAGTCGTCGATCTCGTGTTGCGGGTATTGCGCTTGGGGGTCGGGGTCGATGGGGAAGTTGGCAGTGTTGTCTCCACCGGCTCTTCCTTGGGCTTCCCAACCTTCCTCGTAGCGGGCTTCTCAACGGTGGGCTTGGTCTCTGGGTCTTTGAAGACCTCGAAAATCCGTTTGACTTCACCATCCTGGTCGGGGGCGTAGGTGAGGATCGGCTCGTTTCCCAACATCATCTCTGTTCGTTGTGGGGTCAGCAATGTCTCGGGAAACGCTAGGGCGGCATTACACACCCTTTTGGTCGACTTTCTCGAATCGGAGCTTGCGGTCGTCGTCCCGAAGACAGTAATCGATGACGAGTGCTTGCTGGTCCTTCGGAAGAGCAAGAATGCCCTTTTTCCCAACATCTCCCTCCCATGGAATCATCACTGTTGGGGGCCAGTTCTTGATGGCAATTCCGGACTTCATGAAGTCTTGCTTCATGTTCTTGGCGGGGAAGCGATTGTGCTTGAAGGTAATGTTACATTCCGCTATGCCAGTGGTCAGTTGCGATGCCGGAGTATGTTCAGTATCAGGTTCACGTACCAGCACGGTTGAGGAGGGTTGTTCGGCAGTCGCCCTTTGTTGTTTTAAGCTTTTCGACTTGTGGTCCGGTGACGGTGAGGCCGTAGCTTTCTGCAGCTGTTACGATCTCGTCGATACGCAGTCCTTCATCGATTTGATCACTAGAATAGAAAGTTAACGTTAGCGTTGGATAGGGTCGCAGGCGTACAATGTACTCACTGGATATGGCTTCGTAAACGGCCGACGATCCTGTCGTTTGTCATGTGTAGTTTCTTCTCAATGAACTACAGGGAATGAGATGAGTTTTGAAGGCAGGGGTAAAGAATAAGCAGTACTTACACCCTCGCTTTCATCGTTCTCAAGCACGAAAGACAGCGATTGGTCCTCGTTGACCATTCCACCGACAGCGAAGGCGACAACATGGAAGTGCGAACGGTTACGGGCTTGGCGGCCCTGTAGGTGGGGGTCACTATCGGAGGATAGAGAGTGTAGCAAAGGACTTACAATCGTTGTGAGGTTCTTGACGAGAGTGTCAAACTCTCGTCGGCGGGCCCCTTTGGTCTGCGATGTTCCTTGCTCTTGACACTCCTCAAACGCGGCCATGAGTTCCTCTGCGTCTTGTACGCCATGATGCTCCTTGAAAAGCTGCCACGAGGCTGAGACTTGGTCGGCGGTGGGGGTTGGTTTCGTGTCGAAGTCGTACTTGAGGTCCGGGTCGTTGTCGAGCCGCGCCATCTCGAGGAGCATGTACTTAGTAACCTTCAAGTACTTCTGGTAGCTGTTCCATGCATTGCCCCCACGCGAGCAATGGCTGGACCTTGTGATGTATCTTGCATATATCGTTTTGGGCGCCACGTTGAGTTTCTTCGCAATTTCCCCGATGGCCTTGTCCATCTCCTCGAAGCCCATCTCCATTGTCGTAGTCTCATCCTTCGAATACCGACCTGCAGTTCTGGGGGTGGTTGGCGAGGTTGGTTCGGCTTTTTTCGAGGGTGTGGTGGGTGTATTCGTGGATCGTAAGTGCTCGGGGGCCGTCTCGGGACTGATCGTTGTGGCTACAGTGGTGGAGGCGACTGGGGCGGGTCGAGGTTCGGTGGATGCTTTCGTAGCCTCGGTTTGTGTTACAGCGGCAGGAGGGACGGTTGCAGGGGTTGGGGCTACGACAGCGGGTGACGCCATTGTGATGGACGGAGGGGTCGAGGCGGCAGTCAATGGGTTGGCTGCTGCGGGGAAGGGAGGGTTGGAAGGAGGGGGATTGGAGGCGTGGTTGTACATTTGCATTGGGGGCATTGGAAACCAGGAAGGGCCGGTTGTTGGGTGTGGCGTTGGTGAGTGGGAGAACGTACGTGGAGGGCCGATGGAGGGGCATTGACCCGTTGGTGCAAGCCATGGTGGAGGAGGACCAGCGGATGAGCCAAGCCAAGGGGGTAACGACGGCATCAGGCTCATTGAAGGTACTGGAGGTGGTACCGCTGGCGTTGTGCTGCCCTCGGTCTCGGTGCTACCGGCTTCGTTACCTCCCGTATTGTTTGTATTGTCTGTTGCACGACTCGAGGCCATGCGCCTTATGAACTTGGGGGATTTTGGGTTGAGGGAGATCGAGCGTTTTGCTCGTGGAGTCGAGGTGCTAGGCTCGGTGTCGGTCGCGACTGACGCGTCAAGAAGTTCGTCGGGGATGTTCGCGGCTTCCTCTGCAGTAATGCTGCCAGGGCCATCGAAAAAATCCTACAGAGAACGGTTATTCAGTCAAGGAGCTCAATACATGTAGATTGAATAGTTTACCTCCGATTCGGTGCGTTCAAGAGGTGCTTGATGAGTATGCATAACGGTCTGTTCTGTTTGGACGCGTTAAGACGCGTGTGTGAGGCAGAGGAGGGTTGGAGTCTTACCGAGGTTCGAGATGAATTCGGTTGAAGAGGTAGCAACTTGCGCAAATTTTGTATGGGGCACGAGGGGCGGTGGTTGTTGAAAGGAAGGAAGTTGGGCGATGGGCAGACGCCGTTGGAAGCCCAGACGCCTTTTAAGGGCTTGAAAAAGGTGCCCTGGCCCTAAGCCGAACGAGTCCATCGGAGAATTGGGCTGTCGGGGCATCGCAAGCTTCTTCCGCTGAAGGAACTTCGACGTTAGTACAAAACGTGTATGTGAATCTGGGCGAGACTCACCTTGTTGCAAATATGAGTTGAGTTACAAAGGTCGTGCATTGCGGGCGTATAGGCCATCTGAGGGCTGAGGTGGATAGAATATGTATGGGTATTCGAGGAGCATAATGGAGGTGAAGGGACAAGAGTAGCTGGCAGCGGCTGTGCATATGTTTGTTTGCACATAGCCAAATTCGGAAGCTGTCAAACTGTATGTAATTAGACTTAGCCACCATAAAACTGAGTATCTGTGCGACGATGAAATTGATAGTAATGTCGGAATAATATAAGCTGTAAGAAAATCTATGAGGGGGAGGGAATAAGAAGGCTGTTTCCGTATATCCCTTTTCTCCCTACTTACGTTTTACAAAACTTCAAGGAATGATTTTCATTGGTGAGGCCCGGATTCGAACCGGGAGTCTCCTGATGATGTGTTAATTGTAAGGCGGGAGAACAACATGTATACCAGGCGCCATAACCTTTAGGCCACCTCACCGTTGTATACCGCAGGTGTGTACCTGGCTATACCCCATTACTCGCAACTCACAATTTACAAAAAAAAGGAGGGAAAGTTCATTTACGCTCGCAAGAAATCAGTACACGAAGAGTCTCTGCTAATGATACGAATACATCCATGTCTCTGCTCGGCCCTGACCCCCAATTTCCTCCACCATCCTCTTCTCTTTCTGACACTCAGGCTCCTTGCGACACTCCCGCATGAGTTTCTCGCAGCCCTCTTCCCACGACAGCCCCCTCAAGTCCTCGATGGCAGGATCCTCCAAAGGTGTGGATGGTTGTAGACGTTGAGCAAACTCGGGCTCTTTCCATCGGGTGAACCGGCTTTTCTCCAGCGCTGTCTGCAGCTGATTTTCCCATGGAGTTTCGAAGTCCAGCGCTGGTTGAAGACCCTTGATCGACAGGTATGAGCACATGGAGCTCTCCATGACGATGTGCGTGATCAGATCCTGGGAAACAAACAACGATCAGTGGCAAGTAACATGTAGGTCAGGAACACTGACCTTGCACTCACCGCGCTTTTGCCCACTTGTCTCAAGTCGCGCGGATTCGTCTCCCCATTCCCCAAGCCAGTTATCCACCACATGTTCTGCGAATCGTTTACGGTGACCGTCGCGAGTAGGTCCTTCCTCCATGTCTTGGATTTGCGTCATCAGAACTGAGAAGATCGGGCCGAGGGCATGAACATAGTCCGAGTAAGATGCGTCATATGGAGATGTCCCGACGTTGATTGCGTTGACCCGTGGGTTACCGGGGTCTAATACAAGGTCTGACATATGTCGTTAGATGTGATTAGATAGAATGAATAGAATGAAACTTACTATCGGAATCGGCATCCGCCATAATTTTGAGAGGACGATGAGAATTTTGAGCTGCTGGATTGGCTGGTCTGCTAGGTGGGTCGAGGATGTAGCTCAAACTTTATTTGCGATAAACTGCACAGTTTGCGTCGCTTTGGTTCGCTTTGTACACCGGAGTTCTCGGTGCGCTTGCCCGAGGTGGCAGAGCGGGTGCCTGACCGGCAAAGATTGCCGGTGCCTTTGGGAAAGTCAGGAGAAAAACATATTTCGTTATATATCATCGCTCACCCAGATTCTCACCCCAATACCTCGCCTGCATGATCTGGGCTACTACTCGACTCCGACCTCCAAAGATCTTTGTGTCCCGCATTCCCAATCACCCCAACCAAAAAGTGATGACACGAAGGAACTGAAAATCGACTTGCACTCACCCTTTTCCCAACTACCATCATGGCTCGTCCTAAGAAGTATCGCACACAGCAGGAGCGTCGGACGGCAAACAACGCCAAGGCTCAGAGATATCGCCAGAGGTACTGTATCTGCTCTCTGTCCCCATTATTCCCTTGAAAGGCTGATAGAAACGATAGGAATTGTGATGCACTGAAGGCACGGCGACAGGAGAAGGCAGCAAGCGCCCGAGAGCAGGTTGTCAGAGCAGCTGAATTGAAGAAAAAACAGGCATTGCGGGAGAAACACAAGAAGCTGGAGAAGGAGTCGCAGGACCAGGAGAGGTGCGCTATATGAACGATGAAGCTGCGAGCTCTACTGATCATCTATTTCTCTTTCAATTCTCATAGGCTTCGCACAAAGGCTGAGGAAGAGAAGCGTCGAACTTTCATAAAACAGGCAATGGACAACGCCGAGCGGATTTCCGAAGAGCACAATGAATTTGTCGGTGACCGCAAGACATATGTTGAAGGCCTTTACCAGGAATACGTCGACTCGGGACTCAACGGTGCCCCTAGGCCTCCATCATGGTTCACCCTATCGATCCGCCCTTTGGAGATCATGGATGGGGAGCTTCGCCAGCTCATGGACCGTGTCTACCGGAGAGTCGGGCCTGTTAGCGAATGGACTCGCATCAAGGAGATACGTTACGAGGTTCAGCAGACGGTGCTGTGGGTAAATGATTTAGAGTGCGAGGCGATGGTGGGCTTGTCACAGCTCATCAGGGCATATAACCACAGGGAGTTAGGGCATACAAGGGGCTAGGGCCTGTACGCAGACGCCTCGGACGTGGGGCAAGGTATAAAGTCTAGATTGGTACTTGTAGGTCCAAGTCTTGTAGGTCCAAATATTACTTTGTTCGCCCATATGTCTTACACAGTCAATTGTACAAAGAGTTATTGAATTGCCAGACTATGATTATATAGGCATACGAATCATGGGTATGTAGGTAGCGTACGAATTAGGCGAGACATATATTTTCTAAAGAAACGGATGTCGCCCTCGTTGATGTGGGCGGCATCGTAGCCCCGCAGCGTTGCGAGCGTGATCCAAAGAATCCAAACTCCACAGTCGTAGCTATTGGTTTGTAGCGGCGACACCTGAGGGGAGTGTTAGCGAGGGTGCAGAGCTTCGATTCGACCAACATACTGACCACGAGAGGGCGGGCTATCCATTCGGAAAGCTTCAACTCCATGACATATCCCTGGTCGTTCGCATTGGTTGTCAGAAGTGAGACGAGAGACTCAATCTTCTGCGTGGATGACACGTTATTGGTGGGGGGCACAAGCATTAACCAGGAGGAACTCACGGGAATCCATTCCTGCATGGAGGGGCGGCTTGCGAACGAGTCGAAGATCGTGATTTGCTTTCGTTGGCGACGTGCAATTGCAAGGAACCAGTGCATTCGTTCTTGATCGTGGATCGGTACGATCCACACATCCTTCTCCCAGTACTTCGAACCGCGTGTCAGGCGCCAGATCGTAGCGGGGCCGAGTCGTTTGTCGTTTAGAAGTGTTTGCATTGCGAACGTTGAGATGAGGGCACACTCGCCTCCTCCGAATGTATGTTGGAGGAGGGCACTACAGCCGTTGACGCAGTCGGCAGATAACCACCCCGTCTCCTTGTCCATCCGAGTGAGTACCTCCTTCAGGAATGTGATTCGAACATGCGAGTTGAGCTGCCGCTCCGACGAGAATGAACCGCTGACATGCAAGGCCCAGTTTGCTTGTTTCACACCAGTCCATAGAAGCGGGTCGCATTGTAGGTCGTTCTGAAGGACAAGGTAAGCCATTATTAACTGGTTGTATAGGGGATATCACTCACGGGACAGGCCCAGTTAGCCTTGACATGCTCATCGTCATCTTTGTCGTCGGAATCGTTGTTTGTCTCGTCGATGACATCGGCCAGAGTGAGAGCCTCGGGAGCCTGGATTTCGCAGATCTCCAGGTCGCTCTCGCTCCCAGTATCACTGTCGACATCGTAGTACACGCGAGCGTCAATTGGATAGACGGCAGTGACTGGAAGTTCTTCTTGGGCAGGGTGAACGGCCCCTTGCATCAGTTGGATAGTTGGTATATTGGGCGGAGGGTTCGGGGCGTCATGGGCAGGGGTATGAAGGAAGGGGTTCAGGGCATAGCGAGGTAGGCTTGGTGGTGTACGGTTGCCCCGACTTTGGGGAGGGGCTGTTGTGAACGATCGAGCTGTGGGTGTGCTGGTTGTGAGAGTTGCGGCGGGCTGAGTAATAACGTGTCGAGCTGGTTGAGTGGCGATGGCGTTCTCGGATTGCTGGTGGGTGATTGTTGGGGGGAGAGAGGTTGAATCGGACGGTGAGATGGCTCGGTCAAGCCATTGCTTCACGACTGCCGCCCGCTCCTGGAATTTTGCAGCGGGGGCAACCGAGCTGGACCATTGCATGATACGAAGCCGATGTTCTGTAAGCCGATGGCGAACCATGCTCTTGTAGCGTATATCTGAAACGAAAATCAGTCTTAGTGGGGAGCTTGAGACTTGGCCGACAGCTTACAGGTTGGATCCCGTGCAATGACCTCCAGAGCTTGAAGTTCTACTGTGAACCATCGCAGGAGATGATCCGATTCTCGACGGAGTCGCTCTCTCTCCTCCCGAGAGCGGTCGAGAGCGTGAATCAGTCTGATGCCATGCCTGACCTTCTCGTCAACCAGCCATCGAGGGGGCGAGGTTCCTCGCAATACCCACACATCTTCCCAGAGGTTGCAGGTGTCATTATCCCGGAGGGCGTTGAGCTGGAGAGGGAGTTGCTGGGGCACGACGAACGGGGCATCGGGATGAGCGTGCGAGAGTTCTTCGAGTCGAACACAGTACTTGTTGAACTTGCGGATATCATTTTCGAGGCTTTTGGTGCGCCGCGAAATGTTTTTCCACGTGTGTTGATGAAGCCTTGTTCCTGCATTCGGTTTGGTGTCAATTCTGGTGAGCACAGCACAAAGTCAATGAGAACTAACCTAATGCTTCCCCAACTCCACCCACTGCCTGATCTAGACGGTCGCATTCCTGCAGTCGGCCTATAACTCTGTTCCGTAGGTTGATCTTCAGATCGCGGGCAAGCAGAAGCTGCGTGACGATCTCCATAGACAGGCCAGCAAGGTCGGGGTGGTCTTCCGGAAGGTTCAGAGATGTATAGAGGTCGGTCGCTTTCTTCTTCATCTCGCGGTGGTGAGCCTCCATACCTGCGAGGATGGATAGGGCATCAGCTGAAGGCTCGGGCATCTTGTTGATTGACGCCCTTGTTGCCGCTATGGTTGCTGAGAGTGTGTCTATCTCGTTCTCGAGCTCGAGGACCTTCGCCAATTGCTTCCGGATACGTGCTGGTGCATCTGGGGAAGGGTTAGACTGGGAAAGGAGCAGGGAGGGTAGTCTAAACTCACGGGATTGGCGTGAGCGCTGGGCTGCTTTCTGCTGCTTCCACAACTCTCGAAGCTCGGCTTGCGTGATTCCGTCACGCTCCAGTTGTCTTGTTGCATTGACCTCTTTCTTGTAGACGTTCTTCACCATCCGCCGGTCAAACCATTGCCCGTAATCGTCTTGAAGTTCGGTCACGATGTAGTCGCACTGGCGGTCAATTAGCCAGATTCGTCGTGTTCGCTAGGGAAATCGTAAGGGGACTTGTATTGGTTCAAGTGATAGGTAAGACTTACCGATGAGCGCCGCTCAACACCAATAATTCGTCTGAGCCTTGACCACAGCCGCTCAACAC